GAACTCAGGTCATCAGACTTGGCAGCAAGCACCTTTAGCCACTGAGCCATCCCACTGGCCCTACATGTTATTCTATTATTATTACCAGTATTTTTATTAGGGTTTTTTGAGACAGGGTCTCCCTGTAACTCCAGCCCACCTAAAACTTGCTATGTAGACCAGGATGGCCTCAATCCTACAGAGATCCACCTGCCTTTGTTTCCTGAGTGCTGGGATTAAAGGCATATACCACACGCCTGGCCCTACATGGTATTGATGTAGCTTTCCCCAGTCTCTATTCCCCTGCCACACTGGAATCCAAGGTGACTGGGGAGCAAAGGTTAAGGAGGCCACTGCATAGCCACAACCCACCACTCATGAAGCGGAGTCAGGAGGATTGCTATAAATTCAAGACCAGCGTGGGCTATATCGTGAGACTTTCTCCAAATAATTGAGGAAACGAAGTCTCTGAGGGTCAATGGCTGCCCCGCTCAGCGCCATCCCAGCTTCTATAGCAGGCAGGACAGGGTCAGGTTCAGCCTTTAGCTCACTCTGTAGTTCTCAGCCTCAGGCCAGAGGCTCAGGACTCATTTTGGGGGAACAAATACCATGGGCCCAGGAGCACAGCCTGGCCCTGTCTCCATGTCGGAAGTGGGCCTTAACAACGTGCAATCAGAGGTGAGGCAGGCCCCAGCCCACCACGCCCTCTGCTGGTCGGTCTGTTACTCACAGGCCTATGTGTTTGAGGAAGAGGCTGGAATATGGGGAGCAGGCACAGGACACCATGCCCGACTCCAGATGTGTCTCTGAGCAGAAGGCATGCAGAGGAGAGGCTGGGATGATTGGGGGGCGGGGGGAGCAGCCAGGCTGAGATACAGAGGAATGTGCTCTTCTAAGGAGCTAGTGCAAAGGCCCTGAGGCAGAGCTGAGCTCAGTGGATTGGAGATGGCAAAGAAGTACCCAGACTCAGAAGAGGTAAAGGCAGAGGTGCAGAGCTCAAGGCTGTAGGGGAAGGTACTGGGTGTCTGTCATTGCTCAGGGTGGGGAATGCATTATATACTTCTAGACCCCATGCTATTGGGAGGAGAGGCCTCTAGTTTGTTCAAGGTCTAGGTGGTTTTCCCCAGGTCAGTCAGCCATTAGCTTTACTCACTTGCATCTCCAGAGTTCGTGGAAATGGACTGGGTAAGCCTGGTCTCTGGCCTCCAGACAAGGTGCTAGGATAAAGCAGTACTTGGAAAAAGCTGAGACCACAGGATCAGATAAGGACTAGGGAGGGCTTCCTAGAGGAGGTATCATCCCTGCCAGGGCACAGGTAGAGGAACAGCTGCTGGGGAACTGCCAGCTGACTTGCAGTGCTGGGGCCACGTCAGGAGAGAACCCACGCTGTGTGCTGGGACAGTGAGGGCCATGGCAGTGTGATAGCAAGGGCATGGTGCAGGACTGGACCCTAGCTGACTGTACCCATTCTAAAGACAGAGAAACTGAGGAGCAAGGGTGCCTCGGGGACCTCATACCCCTGTAGTGAGATTTGCATTACCGTAGCCTGCCATTCCCAGCTGACTCAGCTGCGGGCTTCGAATGGAGGGATGGAGGAGACATGTGCATGCATGTAGATGTGTATGTATGTGAGTGTGCATAGATGTGCGTGGGTCCGTGTGCATATATGAGTGTGCATAAAGGTCTGTGTACACGTGGGAGTGTGTGGCTGTGTCTGCACCCATAGGTGTGTGTACATGTATGTACACATAGGTGTATGCACACATAAATGTGTGCGTGTATACTCATGGGAATGTGCATATATAGGTGTGTGTATATGTACACGGGTTCATGTGTTCACATAGGTATGTGCATGTGTGTGTGTACAGCTGTGAGTGTGTTCATAGGTGTGTAAGTTTCCCAGGACTGGATTTCTTGGCTGGCTCACTTGCTGAGCGACCTTGAGTAAGTCACTTACTCTCTCTGATCTCTGAAAGAGCATCATCCTTCACACCTGGCGGAGTCCTTGGAGACCCTGAGGACCAGACCCCAGGCTATCCTCCTGCAGACCTCTCCCCAGGCTCTGCCACCTTGCAAAAAGCAAGCCTGGAGCTCTTGCACTGTGCAGTGCTGTTGGGGATACAGAGCGTCACACTGCAGGGAAACTGAGGCCCAGAAAGACTGAGCAAGCAGCCAGCTCAGGTCTTCAGGCGAGGGCTGACCCACAAGCAGGCACCCCTAGAGGGACTCAGAGCCTCAGGAGCTGGGCTGTCTAGTGTGCCACACACCCAGTCCCCCTCCCCAGTCCCTACCAAGCCCAAGGACCGCCAGGACATACTGTGTCAGACTCCCAGGCCCTCCCAATTGACACAGAGGCCAGGCCTCCTACAAGGGTGGCAGGAAGGGGCCAGGGCCAGCTAGGCTGAGGACACAGGCTAGGGAAGTGAGCAGAGACAGGAAGCCATACAGCTGGACTCGGAGACACCATTGTCCCACCTGGGGGTCAGCGCCTCCTGTCCCATTCCTACCCAGCTGAGGACCCAGGTGTCTTCCTCGTGCCTGGGCAGGAGCAGCAGCTGAGTTGTTGGGCTCTTTTCAGTCCTGCTGACTTCCTGCCCCAGCCTCAGCTTCCCCATCTATAAACCTTCTTAGAGGGTGTTTGGGTATGGCAGTACTGCTGATCCATGCCATCCTCTAAATACATTACCCAAAATTAACATGTTTGAGCTCTGTTGGTGCCCTGTGAGCCCAGGACTCCTGTGGTCTCCATCTGACAAAGGTCCAGGGTCTACCATAGAGGGAACAGAGCTGGGAATCAATCCGGACCACACTGCAAAGTCAAGGGCCTCACCCTCTGTTTCTTTGCCTATGTCATCACTAAATGACTACTTTCTCCATATAACTCACCTATAAAGACTATATTTGCACTGAGCCTCTCTTCCAAGGCTGCAACAAGAACAGTGCAAAGGCCCTGGGGCAGGGCTGGGCTCAGTGTGCTCAGGGTGGAAAGGAAGTATAGACAGGTGGGGAAGCAGAGAGACAGACAGACAATAGGTAGATCAACAGACAAGCATATAATAGACTATGGATTGATAAGTAATGATATAGATAATAGATATGGATAGATGATAAAATAAGGACAGGTGATAGATGCTTGCTAGAAAGAGAGATGCATAAAATTAGAAAGAGTACGATACACATAGATCATAGATGATTAGATAAATAGATGACTGATAACTTCAGAACAGAAGAGTGCTTGTAAGCTGAAGTCTTCGGTTCCATCTTCTTTTTAAAAATCAATGTATTTTAGCTGTTAAATTCAAAATATAATACTGTTACTGAGTTACTATAGTATACTTAAAATTTGAATTAATGTAGTTACTTCCATATTATGTTCACGTCAAAAAAAATTTTTTTTTAGTTTTATGTGTATGAGTGTGTTGCCTGCATGTATGTGAGTGCACCCGTGTCCTGCAATGCCGTGGAGGTCAGAAGAGGGCTTCGGATTCCCCTGGAACTGGAGTTAAGGATGGTTCGTAGCTGCCATGTGGGTGCTGGGAATCGAACCCGGGTCCTCTGCAGGAGTAGTCAGTGCTCTTCACTGCTGAGCCATCTCTCTAGCCCCTGAGTTCCATTTTCTAGCAGCCACAGAAAAAGCCAGACTAGGCTGTGCATGTCTAGCCCCAGCACTACGGCATGGAGACAGGCGAATCCCCAGAGCTCACTGGCCAACTGACTTAGTCAAACCCGTGAGCACTCAGTTCAGTGACAGGCCTTGTTTCAAGGCAACAGGCAGAGAATGACAGAGGAAGACACCAACATCCTGCTCTGGCTTCTGCATACACATGTCTAAGTATAGACATAGAATAAATAACGAGGAAGGTAAGTGATAAAAAGACGATAGATTGATAGATAGACATACAGAATGGATGGATGACCAATTTCATTTTAGCTTATTAAAATTAATACACAATCATGGAAGCTACCAGGAATTCTGTTGTGTGACCCATTGATATCTCCCACCTCCCCTCCGTCTCCCCAGGGTCTTGGGCTGTCACTGAAAGCTCAGCCTTCCCAGGCAGGCCTGGCCTTTCCTCCCATTGGAAACTGAGGCTCAGAGGACTTGTGGAAAAGCCAGGAATCTGTAGGCTGGCTCAGTTCCTGTCTGTGGCCCTCGGGGTCCTCCCTCCCTCACATACACACAACACACACACACGCACACACGTACGTGCACAGGAGGTGATGGAGACAGAAGCACGTCTCCCCTCCAGGTGGGATGAGAGGAAACAGGAAGGGCTCCAACGGGAAGCGGGGGGCGGGGGGTTGTTCAAGGAAGCCTTAGGGCCTCAGAGGTCATATCTTAGACTGGACCAGAGAGGGCCCTGTGCTAGCCCTCCCAACAGGACTGTAGACCCCATCCAGAGCCCCCCATTCCACTCAGGGATGAAGCCTGGAGGGACCCAGGGGCTGTGGATCCTGCTGGCACCTTGTGTGTGCTCTGTGGCCAGGAACACCCAACATGACAGAGTGTCATGTGAGTGTCAGAGGTTGTCCATCACAGCTCAACCCCAGACCCTCAGTATCTTAGGGATAAGAGGAGGGGTTGGGTGGTGCCTGGGGCATGGGTCTCTGGAAGCGCATTGCTGATGGGTGCATCTGGAGCTAACATGCCCCCCAATGTGTCCCCACCCCCACAGAAGCCAGCACTTGCAACCTGTTCATATTTTATTGAAGGAAGATCTGGGGGTTCCCATAGAATGATAGCCCCCCAGCATTCCTAGGGCGTGGCTCCAGGAGGCAGGGGACACAGGATGGCCAAGACTGGTTTTGGTAGCTATGGTCCAATCCATTCAGTAGCCCCCATCCCTGTAAGAATTCAAGGTCCTGGTCTTAGTTTCACCCATGATGGCCCAACATGAATGACTGGGGGTAATGGTGGGATGCAGGTATGTAAAACCAACAAGGAGAGGGTGGGGCACCATGGCCACCCTGCAGGTGAATAGGAATCCCTGATGGGGTGGGAGGGAGGACAGGGTGGCACATTACCCCCAGCTCAGGCTCCTCTTGGCTAGCTCCACCTGGGCCAGCTTGTGGTCACTCAGCACATACCCGGGTAACGGTGGCCAGGGGCCGGTGACGGCGTGGGAACTGTGACACCTTGTGCTCTTGGGCGTAGATATGGAAGTGTTCAGCAGCTGCACTTACCTCCATCTGGAAAACGGAGGTGGGGGCAGTGACTATGGGCCCAGAGGCCATCCCAGCCATTCAGAAAAGTACAGTATGGCTAACCCCTGACAGAAAATCTCCCAGCTGGGGACCCCCCTTTTCTCTCTAGAGGGGATGACTGGCAGCCAGAGTAGGAAGCACTGCATTAAACAAATGGGGAAACTGAGGAAGGGGAGGCCACCCAGACCCAAAAGGGAGACCGTGTCAAGAGCCACAATAATCCCTTCCATAGGCCTTGGGTCCCCCCAACTTAGCCTCTGCTTTCTCCCACAGGTCCCATCACCTCAAAGGGCTCCCTGAGAGCCAGCGGGAAGACACTGGACACCTCCTCTTGTCCCCAGCAGCCACCCTGGAAGGCTCACTACAGTGGCACTAGAGAATCGAGGTTTGACATGGAAGGCGATGTCTCCAGTGTCAGTTATGAAGTTGACCTCAAATCTGATGGGGGGACAGTTGTGAGTGCCTCAGACGCTAGAGAGCTCCTACCAGAGGCCTTGGGAGGGAAGGGCAAGTCTTACTTGTCCTCTCCAGAGTCTGCCTGTCCCTGCATCATCAGGCTCCAGCCGGGGGGGCCAAGCCCCCTGCACAGAAGGCTTCACACTAAAGCGAAAGACAGCGATCAGAGTCCACTGGGTTCCTGTTTATTCAGGGGACTCACAGCTAGAGGCCTCCACCTTGGTGTCACTCTGGATGGGGTGGTGCGCATGAAAGCAAGTGTCTGGGAAGCAGTTATGGGGGGACCTTACCCCAGCCTCTCTGCCTGTGGTCTGAAGAGAAGACAGAGTCAGCACCCCAGTTCTACAGGGAAGAGGAGGTGGCCTCTGGGAACCCCCACCCTTAAGAGCTGGCTTCCTTCTACAGAGTATGCAACCACCCAAGACATGGGGTCTCACAAACCTGCCACGCCATTGCTCTCTGCCACCAAGGAGGATGAGCCGGCTGGGGTTATGGCAGGACCAGCTGGGGCGGGGCACAGGCGTCCCACCCCTGGGGACCTTGTACAGGTCACATGCCCCTCTCCACCCCATTTTTCCCTCCACACTCCAGCTACCCTGCTGGGGAGGGAGCTGGTGGTGTGGCTCAGTGACACGGCTTTTGCCAACCTGTGAGGCCCTGGGTTCATCCCCAGTAGGGTTACCAACCCCTCTCATACTTCCTCAGGTCTGCACACTTCTGGAGACACAAATCCCATGTTTGTAGGAAGGGTGTGACTGGGCACACCCTCCTTACTACAAAGCCCCTGAACTGGCTTATCTATCACAAAGGGTGAAGGGAGGCATGCCCTCCCTCAGAGCCCTGGCTGGCCTGTCTGACCATTCATCCACTGTCCACTGTATGAGAGCGGGTCTCCCCCAGCCTGCTCCCAGGACTGTCCGGCCCTGCCCCAATGGCTCAGTGGCCCCGTGAGGATGAATGAGGATTAAACTGAGCACTGCTCAGCACATTCCAGTCCTTAGCCTGCTGATGGGGAGGGCCTTTCCCACACCCCCATGCCCCGCCTGGCCGACTGCCTTTTGGGCTGAGCCAATGAAGGGTCCACTGGGGCCCTCGAGGCTGCCTCAAGGACAGAGAAGAGAAGCCACAGGCTGTGGGGCCAGCTGTGTGGGCCTTTGGAACTCTCCAAGGAGGACAGTCAGGCCAGAGTGTAGCCAGGCTGGAAGTCTGGAGCCTCCGAGCTAGTGCCTGTGGGTGAGTGGGTGGGTGTGTGACTTTCTTCCTCCTGTCCCCAAAGGTCCCCTTCATCACCTGCTTTTCTCTCCAGGCCCCAGTAGGGCTGATCCTTTGTCCTGCTAGCCTTTCCCCAGGTGTTGCTACACAGACATAGGTCTGGCGAGAGGTGGTGGATATGAAAGTCAGGAGGGACACACTAATGGGGAGGGCAGTGCAGAGGCCTGATGTCTCTGCTGCAGACACAGGGCAAGGTCACTGCAGCACTGCAGGGGCCATCCCAGGGCAGAGGAGGCTGGGCCTGCCAGGTCCATGTCCTCCTGACTGGCTGCTCTGATGTCCAAGTCTGAAGACCACTCACCCTTGCCTCCCCAGAGGACCAGAGAGAGTAAAGCCTTTTTGGGGAGATGGCTCAGTTGGTAAAGTATTTGCTGTGCAAACATAAGGACCCAAGTTCAAGACCCAGCACCCATGTGAAATGCTGGATGAAGTGGCACATACTTAGAATCCCAGCACTCAGGAGGTAGAAACAGGAGGATCCCTGGGGCTCGATGATTAGCTAGTATAGCCAAATTGGCCAGCCCAAGGGCCCAAAGAGAGACCCTGTCTCAAAAAACAAGGTGGACAGCTGGGTGTGGTGGTGCACACCTTTAATCCCAGCAGATTAATCCTCTGGAGGCAGACCTCTATGAGTTCCAGGCCACATAATGAGACACTTTCTCAAAAAAAAAGAAAGAAAGAAAAGGGGGGGGAGGCTGCAGTCGCTTCCTTCTGAGCTTTAACCGCCCCTTCTGGTTTGTGGGGTTTATGCTACAGGAAAGCCAGAGGTCTTGAGGCCAGTGGGGACTCACTCCCAGCCCGAGTCTCTACAGAAACCTGGACACTTGGGGTTGGAGAGATGGATCAGTGGTTACATTCACTGGCTGCCCTTGCAGAAGACCCAGGTTTGGTTCCCAGCACCCACATGGTGGCCAACAACTGTCCCTAACTCCAGTTCCAGGGAATCTGACAACCTTTTCTGACCTCCACAGGCACTTATACACATAAACACAAAACATGCACATAAAATAAAAATAAATAAAAATTTAAAAATATTTCATTTATTTTTATGTGTATGAGTGCATTGCCTGCATGTGTGTAAGTGCACCCTGTCATGAAATGCCCACAGGGGTCGGAAAAGAGCATCGGATTCCCTGGAACTGGAGTTACAGATGGTTGTTAGTTGCCATGTGGGTGCTGGGAATTGAACCTGGGTCCTCTACAAAAGCAGTCAGTCCTCTTAATCATTGAGCCATCTCTCTAGCTGCTAAAAAAAAATTTTTTTAAAGGAAAGCTGGGCACCCCTGGCCACTCTAACAGAGGTCAACTGCACCCACATCTGGTCTCTGTCCACCCCAGGCAGGCATGTGGACCTGTGATTTCACCCCTGAGTGACTGGACTCGTCTTAAGTGAGGTTGGACACTCAAGCTGTGACAGCCTCATGACCCAGGCAGTTACAGCCTTAGGGACAGAACAGGCAGAGACAGAGACTCAAGGTACACCTTGTCCTCACACCAATGCCAGAAATCCAGCAGCATGGTATGGTGGGCAGTACCCCTCTGCAACATGTTGTCCAGCTGGGCTGGCTCCCAGTTGCCAGGTGAGGTGGTTCAGGGCTGAGAACAACAGACTTGCTATCCAGGGGCCACCCCACCTCTCATCTCCTGCTTCCACCTCCACCTGGATGTGTGGTTTTGCTGGGACCTATTGACTTTCAAGGTTTGGAAGCAGACAGTAGGTCTCCACCCAGCTTGGTGGAGGATCTACACCAGGATGGGGCTGGGCACCTTAGTCAGATCTCCTCCTCCTCCTCCTCCTCCT